TACGTGTTTGGTAATTTACCGTTTTGCCATTTTCACACAGTTTGGCCTTAATTTCCGGATTTTCACTAATCCTTCCCTTTTAACCCACAATATAGCATATAATTTCATATTTAGATTTACAAGGTGTTATAGTATGCAACCTCACCTATCCTTTGCAAGACTTCAAAGGGGACGTAATATCGCAAGCTCAGCTTTTCGGAGGAGCGACGGTGAACAGAAACTTGACAATATGGTTGCAGGCGAAGCAAGACCAGATCTCCGATGGTAAAGCTCCAATCTTTACGTTTCTTGTCGGCTTGGGCCTTTGATGGGACATAAATTCGTCCCATCTAAGCCCATTTTGATGGCAAAATACCATACGTTCCCTCATCTGATGAGCAACTTCAGCATGAAAATCACTTATTTTACACATTTGTGACAAAAACACAGTGGGGGAACGGATGGTAACGTATTCCTTTAAAATATATTAAAAGGGGAACAGACTGAGACGCGTTTAATGCACCTGCTCCATTCATTTAATGCCTCTGTACACTTTGCAGGTGACGTAGGGTTAAAGACTTCTAAAAAGCAAAGCGGTGCACCAACTGAGCAGCTGGAAACGTGAAGAGCAAGGAATCAAGAGTTCTCATTGGCTAAAAACAGAAGCAAAACATGGGAAGGCCTGCAAACTACGGCTAATCATCACCAAACCTTGTTCCATCCAGCAAATTGCGCAGCTTCCATACTCTGCTGCCACCGTCCCGTCCCCTCATTCAAGCAACTTTCTCCAAAGGATTTACAAGCTTGCCACTCTCCTTCCATCTATAAATAGGACCACCCTCATACAAAAATATCATCGGATTCTGGAAGGATTAAAGTCCAGAAGGAAGAAGATCACCTAGTAGTAGTAGTAGTAGTCAGTAACTTAGTTTAATTTTAAGTTGTAACTATAGTTAAGTGACAACCCCTTTTCTCTTCTCTGTAAACAACCATCAAGACTCCTCACGAGCAAATACCCATCTTTCTCCATTTTCTGTTTCTTTTTGTAAACTGTCTTTTAAATTAATATAAGTGTTTTTCTCTTCGTTCCAATCGTTATCTCTTGACTGAATCTCGGGTCTATGTGATCTCAGTTGAGAATAATTATTTTTAAGCTATCAACCATGAGCTGAACTATCTGTGGAACGGGTAAACTGTGAAACTCTTATAGAACTGTTTTCAAAACTCTTGACCGAAGCTTTTTGTATTTCTTTGGCTAAGTAAGCTATATTCATTGTGCGCCAATGGAAATTGGGTACATACTGAGAAATGAACTTCCATAAGGAAGGGATTTCAGACAGCTTAGCCATTGGGGGAAGGTAGATGTCATGGCAAAAACGCTACTGGTCACCTTAGGAATAAGGGGCCAACTCGTCCATTTTAAGGTTCTGAACTAAGTACCTATTGGAGTCAAGGGAGCCATAGGAATATGGAAAATTGTGAGCCATCTAGACCATGAGCTGAGGAATCAGAGCTGGCAGGCAAAGAAACTGGGACAAAGCCAAAAGGTGTTAAGTCTTGAGCAGAGAAAACAACCCCTTTAAGAGTGAAGCAGTGAATCCGTTCCTTCTGTTAAACTGTTTTAACCACCACCCTGTTGTCTCTTGATTATAATTATTTCTGTTTTAGTAGTGTTATTTTATTTTATTTAGTACTTGTAAAAACTCCAATGATTGTTATCTCACCTTCTTCTAAACAGGAAGGATCACATACATAACGCAGCGAGCAACTGTTTGTCATCAGATTGAACCTACTGTTCCTGAGGAACGTTGTCAAGACAGTAGGGAACGTTTGACCCGACAATTCATTTACTAACTTCTTCTCATTTTCACTCTTTATAAGCAGTGATAAAACAATAATTAGCACTCTATCCTCGTGGGAACGATAATTTGGGCATTAATACTCCCTTTATTACTTGATGCGTGCACTTGCGCACATGGATTGGAACTAAGGGACGAATCTGTGTTCTGCAAGAACAGAGGAACGTCTCCTATAAGAACTTATTTTTTCCACCATCAGCAAACCACCCAACAAGTTTTTGTCATTATTTGCTGGGATTTCTTGAGATTTTCTTTTAATGTTTGCGATATTGTGTGTCGAGCTGCCAGGGTAGAACCGACGACCTCATTAGGGGAAGAGCCCAGACAATATGTTACTAAGTCCGATGGGAGCTTGTCGTACATAACCTCGTATGGAGAGAAACCCGTGGAATGGTGATAGCTGGTGTTATAGTGGTATTCGGCCCAACTGAGGAAGCGCGACCATGTATGAGGGTGTGAATGCGCGAAAGCCCTGAGGTAAGATTCTAAGCACCTGTTAACTCTTTCGGTTTGCCCGTCCGTCTGTGGATGGTATGAAGAACTAAATTTTAGTGTTGTTCCTTGCAGCCGAAAGAGGTTTTTCCAGAAATCACTGAGGAAGACGGGGTCCCTGTAAGAGACAATAGAGTGGGGAAGGCCATGCAGCTTACCAACACTATCCCAAAAAGCCGAGGCTACTTTGGAGGCCGAGTGATGGGCTGGAAGGGGAATGAAGTGAGCTGCCTTTGAAAACCTGTCGACGACGACGAGTATGGAGCTAGAACCAGATGACATGGGTAAGTGGGTTATAAAGTCCATAGTGATATCTGTCCATAGGGAATCTGGGGTGGGCAAGGGTTGGAGGAGTCCAAACAGGGCATAGGTAGATGGTTTGAGTTTTTGACAGATCTCATATTTGGAGATGTAATCTTTGACAGTTTTGTGCATTCCCTTCCAGGTAAAATTGCAGTTCAGGCGATGGACAGTGGCCTTAACACCCGAGTGACCTCCTTACTTGGCATTATGGACTTCGTGAAGCAGATGAGGAATTATGGCAGAGGCAAAGGGCAAATAGATGCGAGGTTTGTAGAATAGCAAGTGATTTTTGTACTGCCAATCTGGCCATAGGCTCAGATCTTGCTGTAATTCTTGTATGATGTTGGTAGTGTAGGGGTCTGTAACTAATTCGGACTTTAACACTGTAGTGAAGTTTAACCTTGGGCCAGTGATGGCCGCTAAGTAAGGGACCTGGGTGTCAAGAATGCCGTCTATTTGTCTGGACAATCCGTCGGCAACTATGTTAGCTTTGCCGAATTTATAGACAATAGTATAATCGTACCCCCAACAACTTAGAGAGGAACTGTTGTTGCTCAGGGGTCTGTATAACTTGTTGCATCAATTGTTGAGGCTCTTGTGATCTGTGTGAATCACAAAGGGCGAACCTAACAAATATTGACGCCACTTAGAAACCGCCGTTGTAATTGCAAGCATTTCGCGAGCATACGTTGACTTACCCTGCATCATGAGGGCTAACTTGCGGCTGTAAAAAGCCAGTGGTTTATCATTTTGGAGTAGTACAGCTCCAATGCCCACACCTGAAGCGTCTGTTTCCACCACAAAGGGTTGAGTGAAATTAGGGAGGCCCAAAATGGGGGCAGAAGTTAATAGTAACTTTAGGTCCCTAAAAGCACAATCAACTTTGAAATTCCAATGAAAACCGAACTTAGAGAGGAGATCGGTCAGGGGGGCAGCAATGGAGGCATAGTGGTGGATAAACTTTCTATAATAGCTTGATAAGCCCAAAAATGCCCTGAGTTGTGTAACTGTAGAAGGAGTGGGCCAATCTGAAATCGCTTGCAGTTTCTTGGGTTTGGTTGTACACCTGAACCCGAAATAATGTGGCCCAAAAAATTGATAGAAGGCTGAGCAAACAGGCATTTAAAGAGTTTAGCATATAAAGAATGAGCCCTTAGAGTAGCCAAAATTGTTGTGAGGTCATCCCAATGGAGAGAAGCTGATGGGCTATAGACTAGGATATCATCAAAGAACACCACAACGAACTTACGCAACTAAGCTGAAAAAACCTGATTCATAGTAGCTTGGAAGGTAGAGGAGGCATTGCTTAAGCCAAAGGGCATTACTAAGAACTCGTAGTGACCATGATGTGTTCGAAAGGCTGTTTTATGTATATCAGGAGAGTGCATGCGGATCTGGTGGAAGCCGGATCTGAGATCAAGTCTGGAGAAAATAGTGGCCCCATGTAGCTCATCGATTAACTCATCAATGGTAGGGATAGGGAACTTGTCTTTAATAGTAATAGCGTTTAAGGCCCTGTAGTCCACACAAAACCTCCATGTACCGTCCTTTTTCTTGACGAGGAGAACTGGGGAGCTATATTCAGATTGGCTATGGCGAATTAACCCCGATGCCAGCATTTCAGAAATCATTTTTTCAATCTCATTTTTCTGGTAGTGTGGGTAGCGGTAAGGTTTGACCTGGACGGGTTTAGCATCTTGGGCTAGGGAAATGTGGTGGTTAAGATGGCGATCTGGTGGCAAAGTGGTGGGTACAGCAAAAACATCAGAATAGTCATGAAGTAGAGTGGATAAGGGCGATGGTATGGTTAATGTAGTGGTGTGAGTTGAGGCTGTGGGGGGTGGAAAAGGTGTGGACGTTAGGCACATGACACAAGAAGAAATAAAATCATGGGTGATCAGCTTGTGTAACTGGACTGAGGTAATAGGGGTAGGCCCAATGAAGTGGTTGCCATGTAATAATATCTGATTTCCTGAATGTGTGAAGGCCATAGTCAATGCTGCATAGTCAGTAATAATGGGTCCAAGTGTAGCTAACCATTGGACACCCAAAACAATATCTGCACCCTTAAGGTCTAAAACAAACAGGTCAACAACAAATGAATTGGATTGCATAAGCAAAGTAATGGCCGAACAAGATGCTAAGCATGTAAGGATATCACCATTACCAACATGCACATTAAAAGGAGAAATGGCATGCATAACAAGGTTAAGATAAGAGGCCATTCTCGGTGTAATGAAATTGTGGGTACTACCTCCATCAATTAAGATTTGGACAACTGTACCAAGGACGATACCCATAAGCCGGAATGAATTAGAAGTTCTGACCAAACAAAGCATTCAGGCTACTCTCTGGTGTTAATTCCTCCTATGGAGGAGGATCCCCATCCGGTGGAATAGTACCATCGTCGTCCTCAGAACCATCCAGATATAAAAGGGAGGCTCGCCCTTTACAGCGATGCCCAGCTGTGAATTTTTGTCACAATTATAACACAGGTTTTTCTCTCGTCGGGCTTGTCGTTCGGCTAGGGATAAGTGGCGGATAGGTAATGATGACATAGGGATAAGATGTTTAACAGGTGGTAACGAGGGTGAGGGCTGAGTCGGTTGGGAAGGTGGATGGAAAGGGTGATTGGGAAGGGAGGTGGTGCGTGGGACCCAGGTTTTCAGTGATTTTTCAGTACTGAGCTTCTCCTCATAAACTTTGGCATAAGCAAGGGCATCGTGAACGTCTTGGGGTCGGTGGACCAAAACCGAACAACGAATTATTGATTTTAATCCTGCTAAGAAGAGTCCCTTCTTAACAGTGACGGATAATCCAGGAATTTTTCTGGACAGCTGTTCGAACGCGACATAGTATTCAGTAACAGTGTCGGTTTGCTGAAGTTTAGCGATTGCCACGGCTGGATCTTCAAATTTCGTCGGGCCAAAACGCCTATGTAAGGCAATGATGAAGGAGGTCCAATCTGGAATCAAACCATCCTGATCTAAGGAATGAAACCATGATGAGGCGGGTGGATCCATGTTGAAAGAAACCAGCAGAAGATGTTCATGGTTAGGAATATTATAGAAACAAAAATAACGTTCTATAGCAAATAACCAATCAGTAGGTTCACCGCAAGCAAATCTGATGAAGTCTAATTTCATTTGGCGTTGACGGTGAGGCTCATTTGTGTGGCTGGAGGATGAGTGGGAAGGACCAGAGCCTAAGACTCCAGCATTTGGATCTATGAAAGACGGTGAAGAATGGAGAACAGTGAGAACTTCCTGCAACTGTTTTTGTAGGGTATCCATGCGTTGAGTATGGGACAGCTCCATAGCAGTAAAACGACGGTCCTGGGCGAGTTCCAGGTTGGAGAGGTGTTCCTGAAGTGCCAGGCGCGATTATTGGAGTTCCTGAACCTCTGAAGCATATTCATGGAGATATTGAATATTGTATATTATATATCTGATTTATACAATTCTATATACAATTCTATATTATATATCTGATTTCCCGAAGCATATACCTAAACTTAAACTTTGTTTAAATTTAGTGTATAGTATATACGGCATGGATAGTTGCATGGAGATACGTATTTCTGGTATTCCTAATAAAATCTTTTTCTATTTATTAAGATTACGACATGTCTACAGTCTTCACATCATTTTGTTGTTGTTGATAGAAACGAATAAAAAAAAAGTAAATTGTGTACGGGAAAAGAAAATGAAAGTTAATTGGATTGGATTGCAGTGCATGCACTTGAGTTTGTTGCCTATTAATTGAATTTGATTTAATGCAAGAGAAATGAAACAGATCTACAAAGAAACAAAAGAAAATGCATTCTCTCTAGTCACTATTGTTTTGTTCAGTTTGCTTAAAGCGATGGATCGATCCCAGGCTGCCTTGGAAGTTTGTTTGTGTACCTGTGAACTAGATGCTAGCTGTAGGGACTAAGAGAGTACCGAATAGGATTGTGAACAACAGAGTAAAAATAGCTTGTAGTTGTAACTGACCCCCCCCCCTTTTTTAACAAATTATTACACTCACTTTAATTTGCACCCAAAAAACCACCCGTGATCTATGATCTGTGATATCTCTTTCTGAAGATATTTCAATTCCATACAGTTTCTGACTGTGTTACTAAAAGTTAAATTGACCTTGAAGGCCGAAGCATGTGAGAGGGAAAAACAAAATTTTTCATGCGGAATCACACATGCAATCAAGACTCATGCTTTAAGACAGCATGATGTTACCTTTGTTTGTGATTCAAACACCAAGGAGATCAGTGTAATATTTGAAGGGTTCAAACCCTCTAATGTTGATCCACACCACCCACATCAAGATGCAAGAACTCTTCTTGAAAAGCCACAAATTGACCACCACAAAAGCTTGTTAGGCGTCCAATGTGTGAAGAAGAAGGCTAGGTTAAGGTGTTTAGAAGAGTGAAATTTTCAGCTTAAAACTCCACAAAAGTGGCGCATGGATTTGATGATATATGGCTAGGTTATTTTCAAAACCTCTTAAGAAAAACCTAACAAAAGGATGACCAAAGGAGATGAGAGAACTATCAAAATTGGATCAGATTTTTCTCTAAAAATCTGACCGTAAGTAGCGCACAATAGAGAGGAAAAGGAGTTGTTGCAAAATCAAATCTTGCCAACAACCTCCTATCATATCCTCATGATATCAAGTCAATATCTTAACAAAAATCTGACTTAACAAACATCATATGGAAGGCCATATGGTGCGCCCAATTCAGCCCCAAAACCAGTCCAGATACGTTGTGTAGTTGCATTCAAATTTAAACCAACTAGCTCACTGATTCTCTCAACAAACCAAATCTGATTTGGAGCTTATTTGGTTGACAAGATGACACTCACAACAACCAAAGTGGCGCCCCAAATTCAGCCTTGGATGTGATCAAAGATCTCCTCTTGATACTAGGGATTTGTTCCAACAAGATCTTATCTTATCCTTTTGTTATGAAACAACTTTTCATAGCCAATTCAAATTCGAATTCAAACATTTAAATTCAAACGTTCAAACATTTAAATTCAAATTTCAAAATTCAAAATTCAAATTAAAATTTCAAATTTCAAATTCAAAATTCAAATTTCAAAATTCAAATTTCAAACTTCAAAATTCAAACTTCAAAATTCAAACTTCAAAATTCAAAATTTAAATATTTGATAATTAATTTAACTAATTAAATTAATTAATAATGTCTTGGACCATCCAAGCCCATTACATGATCCATGCGCCCTTTTTCCCTTTTATGTGGGCTTCCAAACTTCTTTTTGAGCTAACAACCATTATTAGGCCCAATACCTTTAATGTTATATCATCATGACAATAAGGTGTTAGTGTGTGACCCATTAGGCCCAACATAGCCACTGACATAAATGGGTTTAGGTCCAACAAGCCCACAACCCATCTAATGACAACACAGAGCACTAGCAATGCTTTGTTGCCCCAGAGCTAGTTAGGTTAATGACATAATCATCCTATTATACATATTTGGTTATCGTATGTATTTCCTTTCGTCTCGGTTACCTTCCCATTAAACTTAGGGCAAGGAAACGTATCAACCCTTGCGGTTTAGGGTAAGCTTTATTCAAAATAGGGAATCTTCAATTTACTGACTCTAAAGGCAGATCATCTCATGATCTCTTTTACTATGCATAGATTCCCGAGTCCTGTAAATGTCATCTCGATTTCTCCGGTTTACAGATAACCTAATCCCTTACAGAGATTTGACGAATTCCTTCAGCTTATCACCCTAGGCCTGTGCTCTTTCAAGACATGCCCAAAAGTATACTATGAGTCTCCATGTTTCATGCAGACGAGGTATACAATCAAAACATGCCTCCTAGAACATAGTCTATGTGACAACTTATGGTCTAAGGAAAGATATACCCAAATATTAAGAGACTGTTCTAATGATACTTTTGTAAGATTTCCTCATAGAGTCTCTTTGTGGGTCTGTTCAGTGCGAGTTATACCCTTATAAGTCCACCCACAACATTAGCTAAGATATCTCCATATCTGTAGCTCATGAGGTCTTTACCTTGCATCCAAATACAAGTAGATAAGTCGTGCTAGTCTTACCCGAGATCACTGATCCCTATTCTCAGTGTCTCTAGACTAGGAATATAAAATTAGGAATAAACATCAAGTATCCTTGAATCCTCATGATCGTGATCTCTTCACAGATACTCAAGAGATACCTATTTTATTCCAAGGGGTTCATCTAGTTACTCATATAAAATATTAACTATAATATTGAGACAAAATATGAAACAGGATAAAGAGTGCTTTTTATTTATTTGCGACAATATAAAAGGTCCACATATGTCCTAATCTAATCAAAAGATTTTTTCTAGGACATCCATATACTAACAAGCTCCCACTTGGCCTAGAGCCAATCTGACCTAAGTCGTATACCTAAAGCCTCATAATGACTATCATGTTTTCTCTGAGAAACAGCCTTTGTCAGAGAATCGGCTAGGTTATTATCTGTGGGAACATAATCCATCTTTACATCTATCCTTTCAATGATTACTCTAATCAGGTGATATCTGCGGAGCACGTGTTTAGATCTTTGATGAGGCCTAGGTTCCTTTGACTACGCAATGGCTCCAGTGTTGTCACAAAACAACTGTATGGGCTCATCCACGCTTGGAACCACCCTTAGTTCATATATGAACTTCTTGATCCACACGACCTCCTTAGCCGCTTCTGAAGCAGCTATGTATTCAGCTTCTGTCGTTGAATCTGCTGTTGTCTTATGCTTGGAACTCTTCCAAGATACTGCCCCACCATCTAAGGTGAATACGAACCCTTATTGTGACTTGCAGTCATCTTTGTCACTTTGAAAGCTGGCATCAGTGAATCCTTTAACTGAAAGCTCATCAACCCCACCATAGACTAGAAACGCATCCTTAGTTCTTCTCAAGTACTTAAGGATGGTCTTGACTGCTGTCCAGTGACCCTCTCCAGGGTCATACTAGTATCTACTCGTAATGCTTAAAGCATATGAGACATCTGGTCTCGTACATATCATGGCATACATGATGGATCCAATAGCCGAAGCGTATGGTATTCCACTCATACAATCCTTCTCAGGCTGTGACTTAGGACACATAGCCTTGGAAAGATGTACCCCATGACTGACAAGAAGAAAACCCTTTTTCAACCCTTCCATGTTAAACCTCTTTAGCATCTTGTCAACATACGTGGCTTGAGATAAACCCAGCAGCCTCTTGGACCTATCTCTATAGATCTTTATACCAAGTATAAACGCTGCTTCTCCCAAATCCTTCGTGGTGAAGCTTTTTGAAAGCCAGTCTTTCGTTGTTTGTAATGTGGGGATGTCATTTCCTATAAGTAATATGTCATCTACATAAAGTACCAAGAAAACAACATTACTCCCACTAACCTTCTTGTAAACACAAGGTTCATCCTCGTTCTTGATGAAATCGTTACTCCTAACGACTTCATCAAAACGAATATTCGAACTCCTTGACTTTGACGATATCCTTTCGCAACCAACCTATCTTTGTAGGTTTGAACGTTGCCATTTGCATCAGTCTTTCTTTTAAAGACCCATTTATTACCGATAGGAACTATTCCTTGCGGCTTAGGAACCAAGGTCCATACCTTGTTTTGATGCATCGAATCTATTTCAGATTCCATGGCTTCAACCCATTTAGAGGAGTCAACATCCTTGACCGCCTCCTCATAGTTACTAGGTTCATCATCCTCGACGGTTTTTTGATTCTCAATCACAAGCTCATACCTCTCAGGTGGATAGATGACCCTAGTAGACCTACAGAGTTGTCTGTTTACTTCTCCATTGGAGAACGTCGCTTGTGGAGCAGACTCGGGTTCCTCAATCTGTTCTTGTGGTCCTTGAACTTCTTCAAGATCAATCTTACTCCCACTGGCTCCTTGAGAGATCAAATCCTTCTCAAGGAACTCAGAATTCTTGGACACAAACACCTTGTGTTCATCGATGGAGTAAAAGTAGTATCCCTTAGTACCTTTGGGATACCCCACAAATAGATATTTAGTACTCTTAACACTAAGGTTGTCTGATGCCAACGCTTTGACATATGCTGGCGATCCCCATACCCTGAGGTAACTCAGGTTGGGTCTCTTACCATTCCATATCTCATATGGTGTGGTTTGAACAGATTTAGACGGTACCCTATTTAGAAGGTTTGCAGTCGTGTCTAAGGCATATCCCCTAAACGATTTTGGAAGTTGAGTCTCACTCATCATAGACTTGACCATGTCTAACAAGGTCATGTTTCTCCTTTCTGAGACATCATTT